AATTTATTATGTATTAGCATTTATTTATTGTATTGCTTGATTATTTTAAGTTATTATTTACATTGAATAAATATACACTTTAAAATCATACATATAACTCTTAATTTTACATATATACTTTATTTCATTTTATTTTACGATAAACGTGACACGAATTTCTGTTACTATCACGTGACCCCGACGCAAATCGATAGTAACAATATTCATAAATCCCTTATCATATAAATACGACTGGATACGGGTTACCCTATTGACTCCCCTGTTTCTAGTTCGAACAAATCTTAGATTTTGTTAATTTTAACCTACTTTATATAAACATTTGTAATGAGTCCAAAACTTTAATAGTCCTTTTTCCTTCATTTTACACTAATCAACATTACCCTTTATTAGCGTAAATAGAACTTTAACTAATTTAGAACAATTAAAAATAGTGTGAACCATTTCACCTCTGACAGTATTTACAGGTGGTCACCCTTGTGGGTGAAAAGAAAAATACGGGCTGTTTCTTTTTTATGTTTCAGTTGTTTCGTTCGATCGTACCTTTTAGACTCCCGGTTATGCCAGTTTGTTCTATTGAATAAGAGGCAAGACGGCCCCTTCGGGCTTCTCCCGAGAGGTTGGGCCTATCATTAGCTTAGAATTTATTGTTCTTTTCCTGTCTCTTATACACATCTAGATGTGTATAAGAGACAGATTTTAAGTATATTTAAAGTATAAAATTTTATACTTAAATTACATTTAAAATATACTTAATTGCAATTTAAATATAATTTAAGTATAATTTAAGTGCAAAATTTTATACTTTAAATATACTTAAAATTGCAATTTTAAGTATATTTTAAGTATATTTTAAAATGTTAAGTATATTTTAGGTATATTTTAAAATATATAAGTATATTTTAAGTATATTTTAAAAAAATACATAAGTATATTTTAAGTACATTTTAAAGAATTTTTTTGTTATAGGGTTTAGATCATGTTTATTCTTATTTAGCGATCGACCCCAGTCGAGTCTACATTTTAAAAATAAAATAAAAATAAAATTATCATATAAATATTTTCTGTTGTTATTTACGATTTTATGATATAAATTTTTTTAACAATTAAGGAAAGTTATTCAAATATTCAGTAAAAAATGCAAGAATTAAAAGAAATAAAATAATGATTATGAAGAATCCACTAATAACTTCATCATTGTTGCTATTAAATAAAAATAATCAAAATATATTAGTTTCAAATACACAAGTGAACACTCACATGAATTATAAATAACTTGTAATGACTCACTTTTTTAATTTCCCACCTTTCTTCCTCCTCAAATTCATTCCTTTCTCTTCAAACTCTTCATCAAAATTTAAGTAAAAGATGTCATCTCCACAAAATGCGTGGAGACTTACTTTATTTTCATTTAGGAATGGCATTCCCAAAATACATATATCCTTAAAATGTGAGTGTGACACCTTTGCCCATGCTCCCCTACTATTAATTTTAACATTAATATAATCATTCACGGGATCTGCTATCTCAATTCCGAATGAATGTAACACTTCCCTGCTGATAAAGGTCACTGAGGACCGAGTATCAACAAGGAAAATTACCATTTTGATCTTGTTTTTTATCTTAATCGTTGTTGCACAGAAAAGATGGAGGTGAAGACCGTACATAATTCCTGTAATGTCTCCATCTAATTCATTCAGGGCTTCCGAAAGGTACTTGACATTTAGTTTTCTTGGTATACTGTTATGTATGTCTTCTGCATCAATATCATTATAAGAATCATCATATTCAATCATTTTATAGAAAGTTTATTAAATATATGAAATTTAGAAAGTTTTAGAAAGTTAGAGAACCTTGTTATAGAAAGTTTAGAAATTTAGAAAGTTAGAGAACCTTGTTATAGAAAGTTTAGAAATTTAGAAAGTTAGAGAATCTTGTTATAGAAAGTTTAGAAATTTAGAAAGTTAGAGAATCTTGTTAAACTTTTAATAACAAAAACAATATTGTCTCCATGAGGGACTTATATATAGCAATATTTTTTAGCATTATGATTTGGACTGACATCTTAATGCGAAAAAAAATCAAGCATTTTATGTCAGTCAGACCCATTATTAGTATAAAAAAATTAAAAAAAATGAAACACGAGAATAAGATTATCATTTTAGATATATATTGTATCATTTATTAGTTGATATGCTTCATTACTTGGTTACCAAATTATCTCATGATTCGCTTTATCACATGACTCTTAATGAATTTTCTATTAACTTCGCTGTGTAATATACAATTTAAATGACATAATATTTCATAAAATTACTAACAATTTATTTACAACTTTATTGTAATTATTTGTAAAAGTTACTTAACATTACATCTATTATATTCTTAAGTCGTAATATTGGGTTTCTATTTGACGTAAGGATAGGTAAATTTCTAATTATGTCACATATATTATTTATTATTATTATGTAAAACCCGAGGTATACATTGTTTATATTTTTTTACGTCAAATCTAATTTGTAGACCATATAAGGATGGTGAGGTTGACTACCATTATAATTATTTTTTAATAATACTCATCTACTTTCTTTATAACCCATTAATACGTAAAACATTTAATTTTCTTTTAATATAATCAGAGACAGATTTTTATTGACAAGTTATTCCTTGCGTTAATGGCATTATTTATAACGTGACCTTATTAATATTTGAATAAATACTTTACAGAAACTTTTAAAGTCGAAACCATATCGTAGCCAAGTCGAAATATTATCATGACCTTATACTCTTATAGCTAAGACCTGGTCAAAATATGGTTTCACATCGTCACGATTAGCTTTAGTAAATATGTATAAGGTTGACGCATATTAAGGAGTTTATCACCTGATTTAACTAGATCGTACAAAAATCGTATCGAGATTAGTCACGTTATATTTAGGATTTATAAATTAGTATTATACAACAATGCAAATATTTTATACAATTTGATTGTACGTACTTTACATTTATAACTAATTAAAATTAAATTGGTTTATACTCTATATATTTAATATACTTTCGTACATGTATATGTTTCAAATTAAATTCTTGCGTACTAATATGAATTTTTCAAGTATTTTTGGCATTTTTTGATCTTTCACTCATCACGATGTTGACTTCAATTTTATTGTCCAGATCCGATTAAAAATTTTCATACTTAGGCAGCGTGAAACTTAACCTCATAAAAAAATTTTTTTGATTGGTCCCCTTAATTTAATCGATTTCATCTGCACACTGGAAAAGATTTATAAGTTTGATGGTCAATTATGGATAAAATCATTTTGAATTTTATATATAAGATCGAATTCAAATTATTTCTTTTTTTAACGTTCGTTCAACTTTAATAATATTATAAACGAAATCTTTGAAACAAAAAAAAATAAAAAGGAAAATAAATGTTCGTAGGAATGGTTAAACGTTATTTTTTGTACGCCATCAAAAGCTAATGTTATGATGTAACATTATTACGGCTTGTAAGTAAAAATATATTTTTTTTTTATCGGTATCTTTAATATAATTTTTACGCGTTTCTTTTTATTTAATAAATTTTTTTTTAAAAAAAAAATCTTTACAAAAAAAATTAAAAAAGGTTCAAGGAATTTTCATAATAAAAAAAGCTCTAGAGTATTCATCAAAACTCAATTTATCAAATATAGAAATTGGTAAGCTCTCACCTTTTTTTTAAAAATAATAAATATGTATATATGCAGATATAAATTATCTTTTAATCGTTTTATTTTAAAAAATTAGTGATACAATTATTATCTACGGATTATTGATAATCGGAACATTATTTGGATTATTGATTATAAATTGTGCGGTAATGTAATAAATTATTTTGTTTTTAATAATAATAATAATAATAATTAAAATTAAATCTTAAATAAATTTATTATGAATAAATCCAAGATGTTATTTTTATATTCTACAAATATATTAACAATTATCGAAATTATATTTTATAGATCAAATTCTTATATGCTCTCATTTCAATCATTTTTATCATCGAAGGGGGAAAAAAATTTATTAATTTATGAACCATTTTTATCAGATATATTCCCGCCATTATCATTTCAGGTTATGCTTATAAAATAAGAGATAAAGAAGAGATAAAGAGGGTGCTTCGAGAAATGATTACCAAAATTTGATGCGCGAGTAGTTGGATGGTTAAATCAAATGATGGATTTAGAAAGATAGAAATTATATAGAAAATTTACTTGATTTGTTAGTCCAAAGCTTGTGTAAAATTGAATATTTTGTGAATTATCACCTGATGTATCACGCAATCCATAAAATACGATATAATGAAGAGAGCAAGATTCTTGAATTTGCATTTTGTACCGTTAACATTTAAATATCCTTATCACTCTTGTTATCTGTTATTTATTTTTTCTTAAAAATCATGCAGTTTTTTTCTTTCTTGGCACATTTAATTTAATTAATACGTAGTATTCTTAATCGAGCTGTTTTTGGAGTCAACATTACCTTAAAGAAAATTACAAGTGACAATTTTCGGCGATCGAATAATAATGGTCAACCTCTTTCTATCAATTGTGTAAAGAAAATTTACGAAGAATAATTTTTCATTTCAAATTAATCCAATGTATATATAATATTTCAAAGTGATTTATCATCAAGTTATATTTAAGTACTATGATCTTCTAGTGAATGTATTTACGTATTTTACTGTACAATTTTTAAAAATTGAATTAGAAAAGTTGGGATATAATAAGGGCAACACGGGAAAGTAATTTTTTACATAGCTTCCTTTCTTATCAACCGTAATACTCATTTATACAATTGAAATATTAGTGACTTATTTATTCATAAATAAAAAATAATTTAATTTTTATTACAATATTAACCTTTAATTTTTTAGGACATGAATAATTGATATGAGTCTTACTATATTTCTATTAAACGTCCTAGAATAAAATTATCATAATAATCCTTAATCTATCATCAAATTCACAATAAATAAAATAAATAATAAACAAATAAAAAAATGGATAAGTATTATATATATTGAATATTTTCATTTTAAAGTAATTGTATTTAACTACTTTTATCTAAAATAAATAAATTTAATAAATCAAAAAAATCACATGCAAAAGTAATTACCTTTAGAATTAATATCAAGTTTAGTAAAACTCATTCTTAAGGAATCTGTAAAATAAATGAATAATTATTACTCTAAATATTAAGTTTAAATAATTATTTTGAATTAAATTACCTGAATATTCTAAATCATCATTGTTAGAATTTTTTGGTTCTGGAAGATTTTTAAAATTTAAAAGTCTACTTGTGTAAACTGCTTGAGGATGTGTTATATACGAGAGTGTACTAGTAGATGATAATGGTGATTGAACTGTTGAAGATGACTTTTTGTTAATTTCATCTGCTTCTTTAGCTTGCTCACTGATTAAAGAATCAGATTTATCGCAATAAGACCACAATCTAGTAAATAAATTACCTAATTCATCTGCTTTAGGTCGTTTTAATGGGTCTGCGTCCCAACATTGATTAATAATGTCAAGAATTAATTGAGGTATTTTATAATTAGACTTTGGCCTCAACCACTTACAAATTTTCATTGCTAAGATTTCATCATGAACTATATCATAATAAGGAGGGAAACTTGTACAAATTTCATATGCAATGGATCCCATATCCATAAATATCACTTTTTTGAGTATATTCGTTTCCTCTTAAAACTTCTGGAGCTACATAAGGTAATACTCCATATATTTTTTTATTGCTATTTTGAGAGGGTTTGACATTTGCCGGCTGACATAATCCCAAATCAGTAATGAAAGAATATTCAACAAAATCGCTTAATATATTTCCACAATAAAAATCATGATGAATTAATCCTTTTTTATGAATAACTTCAAGACCAACTGCAATACTTCGTAAACTCCACAACTTTCGCTTCCATCCAGTGAAATAAAGTTGTTATTTAAATGTTGTCTTAAGTTACCATTTTTTAAATCCATTACCATCATAAAATTATTTGTTTTTGGATCTTTGGTAATACCAAAACAACGTATTAAATAATCTACAGTACTACTATTTGATTCACATGCTAAAATATTTGATTCAACCTTAAGAGAAAATTGTAGTTAGTTTAACATTTATAAAGGCTAATGAAGATTTATAAGAAAATATCAATATCTTACTTCTTTTAAAAAACCTGCTGTGATATCTTGTGAGTTATGTAAGCACTTTAAAGCAACTTTTGTTTCACCATTTCTTTCCAATTGTTTATTGCCATAATTAATATTCCAAGGACCATCTTTCCAAACTGCTTTAAAAGTAGTTCCAAATCCCCCTTTTGCTAAATATCAACATCTTCAAATTTATCATATTCAATCCACTCTATGTTTTGGACCAAAATTATTAGCATCTAATTGTGCTTTTTGAATAAATTCATCAACGTCATGATTTCCACTTGTCCAATTTTTGAAATTTTGTTGAAAATGATTGAGAATACATTGCTGACACCAACCATATCCAGTTTTAGGCTGTTTACAAATTCCACATAAACCATATTTTTTATAATGTCCTTTTAATTCTTCGTCTGTTATTAGTTTATCAATTAACGATTTTTGTTATTCAATAAATATAAAATAATAAAAATCTTTTATTTGTTCAAATACATCATCACTTAATTTAATTTCATCCATTTTAATAAATAATTTTTAAACAAAAAATATGTTATTAATTCGTATGTAAAAATTATTAAAAAAATAATAAAGGAAAAGAAAAAAAAAAATGAAAAAAAAGTGGTGAAACGTTACTTTATGTTGCAATGATTTTAAGATCAGCGACGAAATTATCAAAAAAAGACCAGTTAAAATACACAAGGGAAAAACAATTATCCTGATCGATGTAAATAATATTTAGTGTTTATATAATTTTATTGTGTATAGGCTCTTACTAAGAACATTATAGCGTCAAGTGAGATCAAAAAACAACCAGATGCAACTAAACAACAACTAGAGGCCTCATCGAAAAATGATAAGAATGGAAAGGTATTAATACAATTCCTCCAAATTTTTATTTAAATTCCCCAATAAGAAAGATTAAATTTAATAAACGTTTAATTTAGGCTAAACTTTTTACAAATTTTAATTACTACTTTTAATATAATATCGGTAATGATGTATTCATATAAAAAATTTTGGTCAACAAAATTTAACTCAAACAAAACTTGTTAAATAATAATAATAAATGAAGAATTTGAATATTATTATAAATTATAATTAGTGTTGTTAAGTCCAAGCCGTGTCGAACCGCGCCGATGGGGACAATTCTGATTGACTTGATGCTCCGAAGTCGTCTGGTTCAGTTCGGCTTGAGGGAATCCAAGTTGTAGTCCAATTCTTGAAATTTTGTTTAAAACATTTAGATTTACAATAATAACACCAATCATAATAACTCTCAGGCTGTTTACATTCTTCACAAAGACCATATTTTAAATAACAATTTTTTAATTCCTCATTTAATATTAGTTTATTAAGTAAGTTTATTAAGTAACGATTTTTGTTCTTTAGTTAATTTCCAACGGACAAAATCTTTTATTTGCTCAATACATCATCACTTAGTTTAGTTTCTTCCATTTTAATGAATTTTTATTTGAAGTTATTAAATTTTATGTTAAAAAATTATAAAATTATAAAATGAAAAAAAAAGAAAAATTAAACGGATAAAATGGTAAAAATAGACTGGGCAATGATTAGCGTGATTAGCGCCGCCAATTTCATGTGTGACGTGATTTTGATCTTCATAATACAGCGCACACGTCAATTTTTAATTAGCCAATGAAATTATTTTTAAAGTACTTTTTTATAGGGAGGAAATTCCTTGATTAGCACTATTGCTTTTAATAAATTTATCTTTTTGAATATAATAATATATACTTATCTTTTAATGAATTTTTTTACTATAATTTATGTTGGTAGAGTTTTATAATACGGGATAAATTAAGCATTTACCTTTTATGTTTGCAAATTAAGACTTATGACACATTTTTTATTCCAAGATATGTCAGATAGACACTAATAGTGATAAGAGAGACCAAAAATGCCGATCGCGGTTTATTTTTATTTTTAAGACAAAACTGTTATTATATACAAAAACAGTCTAAACTAATATTATCGTAAAATCCCATTAAACAATAAGGCTTTGGCCTGCTTGTCAGGTACCAAAAGAAAAAATTGCGCTCGAAAATTTGATTACATTTAATTGGTCACATGTAATCGATCATGTGATAAATCAATATAAATCAAAAAGGGCATAAAAACATTTAAGTTTTGATTAAATTATCTGATCAATTAACAATTAATTAATTAATCCAGTTTTTTTTTATCTGCCGCTGCACATCACCCGCAAATCATCAAAGCTGATCGGTTTTAAACCAAATAAACCACAAATAATTTAAAAAATTTCAGTCTACCACAAGCTAGGGATTGGAATCGAAAATCGAATCTTTTCAAGATTTTTCTTATAGACAACCAACCTGACTTTGAATCAGTTTCTAATTTCAGCAAAAATAATCAGCACTTGGCCGGCATGAAAAATTACTTTGAAGTCAGGTTAACTTATATGTAAAAAATTGCTGAGAATCGATTCTCGAGAATCGATTTTACTATGTTTTGTCGATTTTCGATTAATCGATTCCAATCCCTACCACAAGCACAACACCACAATTTACCATCTAAATTTAGCCTTATTTTTAATTTTTGAAATTGATACTATTTAGTATAAATACACATTTTTTTTTAAATTGTACGTAGGGATGCCAACGGTCGGTTCGGTTCGGTTTCGGTTTTAAAACTGCAGTTTTCAACCAAAACCGAACCGACCGCAAAACCGACCGATAAAACTGAACTACAAAACCGATTACAAAAATACCGCAAAATCGAATAAAATAATGCCATAAAGTATCAATTATACCTTTTTGAATAATATTCTTTGAATTTATGTAATTATTTACAACAATAACGCCGATGTTGTGATTTTTTCAGAGAAACGAAAAATCACGTGATCAACGCGTAAATTCGATAATTTCAAAAATGAGAATATTATACATAAAAACACTAAAACAATAGTTTTTAATGGTATTCTCAATAAACAAAATCATTTTTTTTTTCCGGAATATATTAAAATTTACAATTAACCGATCGGTTTTTTGATCGGTTTTTTTTATATATAAAACTGACGGTTAACCGGTCGGTCTTGGACTGAAACCGAACCGATAACCGAACCGGTAAAAACCGGTTATGATCGGTTATAACCGAACTTTTGGCATCCCTAATTGTACGTCTTTATTATAATTTTTTTATTTATTTTATTTTTAAAGAGTGGTAATCAGAATCTAGTACATGAATAGTACATGGAAAAACAAAGAGAACTATCTAAGGACTAGATCATTGATAAACATCCCGACGCGCAGGACCTCACCCTTCGATAAGAACTACTCGAAAAAATAGAACTTCGCTATTCGATCAAGTTTACAATATATGTTTGGTAGCCAGATTTAGGAGATTGAGGAGGAGGCAGTTGAAGTTTGGAAAATTGAAGTCGTAAGTTCTGGTTGACGTACAGTTTAATAAGCATGTCCATAGTCTGCAAAAGATTAGTTTTTGACTTTTGATATATAAAGCACCTATATAAAACGCTTCAGAGAAATTTGTGTTTCTTATAATTACCTGAAAAATATCGCGAATTTGTAATTTTAAACCAGAGTTCTTGATTATGCACTTTTTGAGCGTTATTGCTGCTGAGAAATAATTGAGTATGATTATGTCTCAAATCAAGTGAATAATTAAAAAAAAAAAGAAAAATTGCGTAAAACTGGTGATAGCGAAGACAAGTGCTAAATGCAGTAATCGATATTAACCATTATTCTTAGTATTTTGAGTTTAAAGTTGGGTTTTTTCGTTTTTGGGGAATATTGAAAGTATTTAATTCTAAATCCATCATTAATAAGAGAGAATTTAAGAATTTTACGACAATAAGATAGACTCCTTGATTTAAGAATTTAAGTAAATTATTTTTCACGGCGCAATACGGCATCGGAAAAAATTCTTGCCGAGATGAATAGGGGCAAGTGTGACGTCAGATTTGCATAAATGTTTTTTCCTCACATTTTGCAAGTCATATTCTCCGGGCCAAAACGATACAACGATACAATAACAATAACGCGATTTATTATCTGAAAAAAAAATAATAAAGGTTAATTTTATCTTATTATTTTATTTAAATTGCCAAAACAAAAACTGTTTTTTTTTTAACAAATTAAAAAACATGATTTATTAAAAAAGGTATTAAGTTGAAAAAATATAGGTTAAATGACGACCCATAAGCTTCCTTCCGAAACTATCACTAAAGCTATGAAATTTTTTTAGGTTAATAAACAGTGCATAGTAAGAATTAGTAATTTGAGTAGTCAATGCATTGTTTAGAATAGTATGTTGTTGATTGATTTATAAATATAAAAAATGAATAAATAAATAAAAGGATATTATTTTATGTATGCAATATGCTTGTTATATATTTCATAACTTATAGTACCTTTATTAGTAATATCAAATATTAAAAATCTAGCGAGTACGAGTATTATTTAAAAAAGTGAACTAATTTTGCCAAGCGATATTCATTTTTTTATCAGACTATATCAGTAACCTTTTTTCATGTGTTTATGATAAATATTTATTGGTTAAATATAAAATTACGCGTAAATGTTTGAAGGTAAAATTAAAATTTTTATTATAAATCATTTATAATTAAAAGGTATATTTGAACTTATTTTTAGCTTACAACTAGCTAAATTAATAATTAATATGATTTAATTTCCAAAGTTGGATTCTTATATTCATTCCATCAAAAAATTTGCATTTTTGTTATGATTACGTGGGTTCTGACTCACGAGTATTTAGCTTTATGATCTGCCAATTCTACAGAAATTTTAAATTTATTATTAGACTTTGCAAACAGGAATTGGTACAAACCATATCACAAATATGTATACTGTATATATAAGCAATAAAAGAGTAGAAAATATATGATTTGATTTAATGTTTACAAAAATCAGAAAACTAAGGATTATTAAACAGAGATTAGAATAGAGTTCTATGAAAGTAGTAAGAGATTTAGCATTGCATATATTTATCAATAGCAAAAGTTACTTTTTGATAATTCTGAATTGTTAGAATGCAAGATAATGAAGTTATAATCAATGAATATGATAAATTTAATACGATTAAAGAAGATAAAAAAATCTGTTATTATGTAATGCAAGATCTTCAAAATAATTCTACTGATTCAGATAAATAATGACCTAATAATAATTCATGCTCACTTGAAATTAATATAGACTAAAAGAGCAGAGTTTTCCATAAAGTTAATTTACAAATTACATGTAAAAATATAATCAATATATTGTAATATTGTAATATTTTTTTGTTATACTAAAAATGTCAAAATCGGCATGATCATAATCCCCAATATTTTTTAGTCGTATATGTATGTATGTAACATTAGAAGCAATATTATTATTAATTGTAAGCATGCATCATTTTCATAAGTTATTTGTAGCTTTTGTAAAATTTAATTCTGAAAATAGTACCCTACAGAAAAAAATAAAATTTATATTAAATTTTCTATACTTTATTGTAAAATAATATAAATGATATAAAGTATGGTTTCCGTGTAATTTTTAAATTGAAACTTTTTGATACTGTGCTGCGCCTTTTTTTGACAGCCAAATGTCAATCATCCGATAAATACTGTCGATCCTTACTGAAAAGTCGTTGTACAATCGGAGTAAAATTTACCATTTTCCCGATATGATATAAATAATATAAATAACCGCTTATTCTCGTATCACCTCTATTTTCTCTTTTGTAATTTTACTTACGGATTAATAACATATTTTTTTGTTTAACAAAATTAGTCGTTAGAATGGATGAAATTAAACTAAGTGATGATGTAATTGAACAAATAAAAGATTTTGATAAGTTTCACTTGACTAAAGAACAAGAATCGTTAGTTGATAAAATTATATTAAATGAAGAATTAAGAAAACGTTATAAATTTTTTGGTTTATGTGAAGAATGTAAACAACTTAATACTTATCCTTATTGGTGCCAGTCATGTAATTCTAGATATTTTCAACAAAATTTCAAAAATTGGACTAGCGGAAATCATGAAGTTGATGAATTTATTAAAAAAACACAACTAAGAGCTAAAAAAAGGGTTCAAATTTTAGAATGGATTGAATATGATAAATTTGATGATGTTGAATATTTAGCAAAAGGAGGTTTTGGATCTACTTTTAAAGCAGACTGGAAGGATGGGTATATATTATGTCGGGATTATAAAAATAATCAATGGGAAAGAAATGGTGAAACAAAAGTCGCTTTAAAATGTTTACATAACTCGCAAGACATTACAGCAGAATTTTTGAAAGAAGTAAGACATTTTCATATATAATTATTAGTATAATTAAACTCCGCATATGTTACACTAACTCTAATACTTCTTTTTAAGGTTGAGTCAACTATTTTAGCGTGTGAATTTGGAAGTGGTTTTGTAGTTTTTTGTTTTGGTATTACCAAAGATCCAAAAACAAATAATTTTATGATGGTGATGGATTTAAAAGGTCGTAATTTAAGACAACATTTAAATGATGATTTTAATTCATTGAATTGGATGTATAAGTTGAGAATCTTAAAAAACATTTCATTTGGTCTTAGTGATATTCATAATAGTGGATTAATTCATCGTGATTTTCATTGTGGCAACATATTAAGTGATATCGGTAATAATGCTTACATTACTGATTTGGGATTATGTCAACCAGCAAATATGAAGAGTGATAATAAGAAAATATATGGAGTACTACCTTATGTAGATCCAGAAGTTTTAAGAGGAAAAGAATATACTAAAGAAAGTGATATTTATGGTTTTGGAATTATTGCATATGAAATTTGTACGGGATTGCCTCCTTATCATGATATAGCTCATGATGAATTCTTAGCTATAAAAATTTGTCATGGATTGAGACCAAAATCTAATTATAAAATTCCTCAATTAATTTTTGACACAATTAATCGATGTTGGGATGCAGACCTTTTAAAACGACCTAAAGCAGATGAATTACAAAAGTTATTTACTGATATTTTTGCAAATTGGAAGGAAGATTCCGTAATTGATAAACAAATCGATGAAGCAAATGAAATTAATGAAAAGTCGTCATCCTCAACAGTTCAATCACCATCATCTTCCACTAGTGATCTATCATATATGACACATCCTCAAGCAGTTTATACGAGTAGACTTTTAGATTTTAAAAATCTCCCAAAACCCAAAAATGCAGATAATAATGATAATTTACTTGGAATAGAAGATTCAGGTAAATTTAATTTTATATAATAATTTAATTTAATTATAATATTAACAATTAATATATTTATTTTATAGAATCTACGATAATTGATTTTACCAAACTTGATTTTAATTCTAAAGGTATTAACTTTTAGATGTAATAGTTTTGATCTATTAATTTTAATCGAGCTAATCCATTATTTTTTATTATAGACTAATGTAATTAAATATTTAAAATATTTATTGCTTAGGATGAAGTGAAAAATCATATATTTACTATGTATCGTCTCTCTTTGATTTATTCTATTTTTATTTTTAAACATGATAAAGGACAGAGAATAATAATATTCTTGAATAAAACATAGTAAGGCTAATATTTTCAAATATTCTTATCATATATTATAATAAATCGACCAATAATAATTCACATGCAAAGTTTTGTCAACTGTTGAATTAAAAAGTATCATGGCTGATAGATAAGGAGCTAAGTTTATCATGAAAGAACTGTCCAGTAACATATTACTTATATACTGTATCGCATATGTAAACACTAGGAGCGTATCATTATTGATCACAAACATGTACATGTAGCATTATCATATGATATTCATAGCTTTTTATAAAAAGGTCTTTATATGGTATTGTCCGAAATATAATAAATTTTTTTACAAATTCTTTTAAATAATAAATGATTATTAAATCGTTTCTGTACAATGACATACTGTAAGTTACTGCTGCTCTCAATGTATTTTAACTATAGTATTACCATTACTTATGTCAATCTTTGCCGCCGATCAAGATTATTGTTTTCTCTCGTGTACCTTTAGTCTTTTTTTGATAATTTTGTTGTCGATCTTAAAATCATTGCAACATAAAAAACGTTTTCACCACTTTTTTTTCATTTTTTTCTTTTCCTTTATTATTTTTTAGTAATTTTTACATACGAATTAATTTAATACATATTTTTTGTTTAAAAATTATTTATTAAAATGAATAAAATTAAATTAAGTGATGATGTAATTGAACAAATAAAAGACTTCAAATATTGGGAATTGACTGAAGAACAAGAATCGTTAATTGATAAACTAATAACAGACAAAGAATTACAAGAACATTATAAAAACTATGGTTTATGTGATGTATGTAAACAGCTTAAAATTGATTATTGTTGCAATTATTGTATATTTCAACCAAATTTCAAAAATTGGACAAGTGGAAATCATAACGTTGATGAATTTATTCAAAAAGCACAATTAAATGCTAAAAGTGCAATCCAAATCATAGAGTGGATAGAATATGATAAATTTGAAGATGTTGAATATTTAGCAAAAGGGGGATTTGGAACTACTTTTAAAGCAGTTTGGAAAGATGGTCCTTGGGAAACGACTTTTTGTAATCAAAGGGAAGGCGAAACAAAAGTTGTTTTAAAGTGCTTACACAATTCCCAAGATATTACAGCAGATTTTTTAAAAGAAGTAAGATATTTTTTACTGATTTTAGTATTATTAGCCTTTATAAATGTTTAAGCTAACTATAATTTTCTTTTAAGATTGAATCAAATGTTTTAGCATATAATTATGAAGGTTTAGTTCATTGTTTTGATATTACTAAAGATCCAAAAACAAATAATTTTATGATAGTAATGGAATTAAAAAACGGTAGTTTAAGACAACATTTAAATAACAACTTCATTTCGCTGAGTTGGGACAAAAGTTGCGGAGTTTAGAACATATTGCATATGGCCTTGAATGTATTCATAATAAAGGATTAATTCATCATGATTTTCATTGTGGGAATATATTAAGCAATTTTGATGAATTTGCTTATGTTACTGATTTAGGATTATGTCAACCGGCAAATGTCAAATCCTCTCAAAATAGTAATAAAAAAATATATGGAGTATTACCTTATGTAGCTCCAGAAGTTTTAAGAGGAAAAGAATATACTCAAAAAAGTGATATTTATGGATTTGGAATAATTGCATATGAATTTTGTACAGGTTTCCCTCCTTATCATGATATAGCTCATGATGAATTCTTAGCTATGAAAGTTTGTCATGGATTGAGACCAAAATGTGATTATAAAATCCCTCAACTAGTTGTTGATGTAATTAATCAATGTTGGGATGCAAACCCTTTAAAACGACCTAATGCTGATGAATTGCCTAAGTTATTTTATAATTTATTTTATGAAATTTATTCCAATAGAGTGGATTCTGTAATTTATAAACAAGTTGAAGAAGCAGATGAAATTAATAAAAAGTCATTTTCAACAGTTCAATCATCATTATCATTTACTAGTACACTTTCATATACAACACATCCTCAGGCAGTTTACACAAGTAGACTTTTAGATTTTAAAAATCTTCCAGAACCTAAAAATGCAGACAAAAATAATGATTTACTTGGAGTATTATATTCAGGTAAACATATCTGATATGTAATTTCATTTAATTTAAATTTTATAATGCTAATAACTAATATTAATAGATTCTTTAATAATGGATTTCACTGAACTTGATATTAACTCTAAAGGTAATTATTTTTGCGTGTGATTTTTTTTGATCCATTAAATTTTAATTAAACTTATTTGTTATTTTATTTTAGAAGAAAGTATTTAAATTCAGAATACTTGAAATGAAAATATTTGAGTATACTGTATTTATGTTTTTTTTTTGTTCATTTATTTTATTTTTATTCTGAACTTGGTAGGAGATAAGAATAATATTATAGTGTTATTATTGGAAGTATAGTAAGCTCATATTATCAATCATTATATGAATATTTATTTAGTAAATTTTAAAGATTAAACAATTATTATTTTTTTTATTAATAAACTTGATTATATTAAATTATCTAAATGAAAGTAAAAGTAATACTCAATATTTCATTTATACAAATAAGTATCATAACTGATAAACAGTTTGAAAATTTTTCATTGCAATTATCAGAAATTTAATCATTAATTGTGTTTTAATTAGGGATGCCAACGGTCGGTTAGGTTCGGTTTCGGTTTTAAACTGCAGTTTTTAACAAAACCGATCCGATCGCAAAACTGACCGATAAAACTGAACTGCAAAACCAATTGCAAAACTGCAAAACCGAATAAAATAATGACATAAAATATTAAGTATAATTTTATTGAATTATATTCTTTAAATTTACGCAATTGTTTTACAACAATAACGTTGATGTGGTGATTTTTCAGAGACGAAAATCATGTGATCAACGCGTAAATTCAAAATGAGAATACTATACTTAAAAAACTAAAATCATAATTTTTAACGGTATTCTCAATAAACAAAATCTTTTTTTTTTTTTGGAATATATTAAAAAATTTGATTGGTTTTTTGATCGGTTTTTTTATATATAAAACCGACGGTCTTGGCACCGATAACTGAACCGGTAAAATCCGGTTATGATCGGTTAAACCGAACTTTTGGCATCCCTAGTTTTAATAAAATAACATTATTTGTGATATACAGTACACTGTTTTGGATATGATTAGGAAACTTAGGAAAATTAGGATCATTAGATTAAGAATTTAAAAATCGATCGACATTCCCATGTGTGTTAATTCTGGCCAAATTATAACTTGGCCGGAATTACTGCCGATTATGATCATGTGCGTATGACTGCGCATGAAACTTCTGAATTGGGTGGTCCGACTGGTTCGTTATTTTTGCAAATAGCTGTAATGGATTATACGCTGTCATGATCGATCAAAAACCGACAAACCGATTAACTTAAATAAGCAGTATATATATACACACAGTATATATTCGATCAATTGTCGGTTTTCAATAAAAAAAGAAAATTTTTTTTTATTTTTGTGTCATATTTTCATGTTCGATCAACAGTGTTAAATTTTGATGATCAAATTGACTAAGATCAAAAGATGTTGATCGAAGTTAATAATTCGTGATCGATTAATTCGAATTAATTAATTGATTGGCTCGATTAATAAATTGATCATATTTCATATTTGATTATTAAGAACCCTACCGTTAAAAAAAATGAAATTATTAAATTATTTTTTTTTGCATTATAAAAAGTATAAAGAGCATGAGAATGGTTTAGATAATATTGATAATATTGATAAATTTCTTTCAAAGTTTCGCTTATCTTGTCTTCTCACAGATAGTGTCTCAATATTTTACACGGATGTCTCCTCAGATTATTTAATAAATGGATCATTTTCACAAAAAAGCTACAAAGAATATTTTAATTTGATTAGCTAAATCTTATAATATCAGATATATTTCGAACGGACGATTTTATTAATGAGAAAGAGTACCAAAATATAAAAAAGAAATAGCTTGTAACGTTAAATAAAAAAGAATAATAGGAAAGGAAATAAAATGGTCAGTAATGAAGAACTGGCGCCATATAACAGGACGAACGAATCTTGTAGTAGAAGACTTCCATAGAAGACCGATAAATGTACAGAAAAAGAAGGTAGAACGAAGAAGTCACATAGATTTAGAAATTAGTTTAGGTTCTTGTTTTCTATTAGAGTTAGTTTAGGATAGTATAGTATAGTTTATATTAGATTAGTTAAAAGATTATTTTATTTATATAGTTGACTTGCAGTTCTATGTGTTTTCTGTTAAATGTAATCTATACTGTACTTTTGTTCTTGTGTAGTTACTAACAAATGAGGCGCGATAATAATAATAATAATATTAATATTAATAATAAATAAAAAATGAAATAGTATGTTTAGCCCGTTTAATTTGGGTTATCGGAGTCACATGATTAATAATGCCGGCCGACACTAACCATACTGACACAAAAGTTACTTCCGGATCATACGTCATTTCGAGTCATTTTGCCAAGCATTTTGGGGAATAAAAATTCTGACTCGATTTGACTCTAATCAAACTATATTATTAATATAAAATAACAATAGTGTATAAACAGTATATATAGAGAAGCCAAAGTTTTGAAAAACTAATTATGTAATACTTTTGGCTAGCGCCTGGCGGGGGCGTGGAATGATAATATTTACATTGTTGGAAATTATTATGTGGCTATGAACTTATAATCTAATCATAAGTTGCTGTTTCCTTTCACAGCCAAAATGATTCATTTCTGGAAAAATTATGAACTTTTTTATGATTACCGCGAATTTGGAAAACAACACGATCGATAAAAAAGTTTTAACCATGTATAGTCTAAACTCGAATATGCTGGTATATTATTAGAAATCCAATCTAACGATAAAATTTCACTTTCCTATTAAGGGTAGAATATACAAAGATCAATATCATAGGAACATGCAGGTTTTTAATATAACGGTATTTTTATGCATGAGGCGTAACAATTTTGCTTAGCATTAATCCCTATTGGTCATCACAATAACCGAATGATAACGCACTTATTAAGCGTTCTTCGACCGATATTTTTTTACTCTCAATTAATAAATTGTGCGCATAATTTTTGATATAAAAATATTTTTTTTTTAAAAAAAAAAAACATTTTCCAAGATTTCATTATGGGATTGATTCTATATCGGAGTTAATCCGTGGCACATGGTTACAAAAGAAATTTCTTTTATTATACCCTTATTATATATATATATATACATATATACATATATGTTAATACTTAATATATCATTATTGGAAATATGCTAATATTATTCTATCAGATTTGCATTTTAATTTTAATTGTTCATCAAGAAAGTCAATCAAAGATCAGCAATGCGAATCATTGGGAACCAATTATTTCTTCTTTTCTTTGTTATTTTTAACTTCACATTTATATTTAATTAATATGAAAATCATATTTTTTTTTTAGTAATTTTTCCGATAATTTAACCCAAGAGAAGTTGAGAATCCGCAGATTTTTTTTTTTTATTTTTTACAGCCAAAGCGATTAAATTTCTACCTTTCCTTGGTGTATTACAAATATGATGTAAATACTAAAATATATAATCACTTGCCTGATAAAAAAAAAGAATTTCCGGAATATGGGCGTGGGCAAACTTTATATTCTATTTTTCGGGATCACCAAATAACAAAAGATTACAAAGTAACGTATAACGAACGTATGTAACAATTGTAACATATATATATACACAATAAATACAGTATATTCAATTATGGTTTAATTAAATATGGATATATATGCTGTACAAATGGTACAGCTGTAATCGGTCAATCAAAATATTAACAAACATAATTTCAAATCTCCCGATGAGGAAAAAAAAAATTTTTTTTTCCTAAATTCTTAAATTTTTTTTTTTTTTTTTTTTTTTTTTTTTT